GCTAAGGAAGGGTGGTTACCACTGCTAAGGAAGGGTGGTTCTCGCGGCATCGTGGATGTTGATGTTGGTGGTGCTCCTTACCAACGAGAGAGAGGCTCTAGTGACGGGCCGGGTGGCCGCGCCTCCACCCCCAGCACCACCCAACCCGTCAGCTGCTGCCCCGTGCTGCTGCTGCCCCGTGCTGCTGCTGCTGCCCACGTGAGTTGCCTCTCCTCCCCCGGCAGTCTGTGCAGACTGTGCGTGTGTCTGTGTACAGCTGGGGGGAGCGGCGGTGCAGCGGTTAGCGCTACGCCGCGCTACGAACCCGGCGACACGGGTTCGATTCCCGCTCACGGCCAACACCGGTGACGATTATCTGAACCGGTCCCGGGCCTCCCCTAGGTCGACTCAGCCTCAAAATGAGTACCTGGTGTAGCGGCGGTATGGAGTAAACATCGCTAACACTGGGGGAGAGACCAAGGCGGTCGGGCGTGGTGCTGGCCACCCACCCCCTCGTGTGCTATGCCGGCCTTCATAGGTGCTGCTACTTGCTACTAACAGTACTTGCCCCTACAGCGCTGCTAGAGGCTACCTGGGGTAGCTTTGTCTGTGCGTGGTGTGTGTAGTACATAGACACTGCTGCTGTTACTCGCTACTAACAGCACTTGCCCCTACAGCCCTGTTAGAGGCTACCTGGGGTAGCTTTGTCTGTGCGTGGTGTGTGTAGTACATAGACACTGCTGCTGCTACTCGCTGGCAGGAGCACTTGCCCCAGCAGCCTGACGGAGGCTACACGGGGGACCTTTGTCTGTGCGTGTGTGTATGTGTCTGTATGTGACTGTGTGTGTGTGTCTGTGTGTGTGTGTGTGTCTGTGGTGTGTGTCCTGTGTGTGTGTGTCTGTGTGTGTGTCTGTGTGTGTGTCTGTGTGTGACTGTGTGTGTGTCTGTGTGTGTGTCTGTGTGTGACTGTGTGTGTGTCTGTCTGTGTGTGTGTCTGTGTGTGTCTGTGTGTGTGTCTGTGTGTGTGTCTGTGTGTGTGGGTGAGTGTCTATATCGTAGTGAAATATTGGAAGAAGTCACCCCCTGTGAGTGGCTGGCTGAGGTGCCATCTGTTGAGGAAGTACTGAAGGCGATCCGGAGTCTGAGACCAGGAGAGGCAGCAGGCAGAGATGATCTCCCAAGCAAAATGCTGAGGGAGGGTGGCGCTTGTGCACAGACTGCCCTATATGACATCATAACAACAGTCTGGACCACTGGACGGGTTCCGCAAGATTGGAAGGATGCCCTGGTGGTCCCCCTCTTTAAGAAGGGGGACCGCACAGACTGTAACAACTACAGGGGCATCTCACTCCTCAGTGTGCCGGGAAAGGTCCTGGCAAGGATTATTCAACATCGCCTTGCTAAAGAACGCTGAGGAGAGGCTTGCGGAACCCCAATGCGGTTTCAGGAAAGGGCGGTCCTACACAGATGCCATATTTTCTGTCCGTCTGCTACAGCAGAGGTGTAGGGAATTTCAACAAGACCTAAATCTCTGCTTTATTGACCTGGTCAAGGCCTATGATACCATCAATAGGCCTGGGCTCTGGGTTGTTCTTCGTGCTTTCGGAGTCCCTGACCCTCTGCTCACGATCATTAAGGACCTTCATGATGGTGAGCGGGCCCGGGTAAAACTACGTGGCCGGGAGTCAGAGCCTTTCCCTGTACACCTTGGGGTGCGACAGGGATGTCCTCTGGCTCCCACATTATTTAACATCTATTTTGACCGCGTAGTTCGTGAAGCGTTCAATAGCTGTACTGGGGGAATTTCCGTTTGGTACAGATAAAATGGGAGGCTTATCGACGCCCGGATGCGATCAAGGGATGGCTCCTTATTGGTCAACCACGTTATGTATGCCGATGATTTGGTGATAGCTGCTCATTCAGAAGAGGAGTTGGAGACGCTGCTGCTGAGACTGGAGCGTGCCACTAAGAGGTGGGGCCTTACCATCAGCCCCACCAAAACTAAGCACCTGCCTGGGTATTTTGTACCATCGGACACTCCACCCCCACAACTCCCGATCGGTGATGGGGCAGTTGTGGAGAAAGTGGAGAGTTTCCCATACCTGGGCAGTGTGCTTATGACCGGCTCCAGTTTAACAGCAGAGGTCTCACTCCGAATCAGTCGAGCGGCAATATCTTTTCATCGGTTGCGTAACGCTGTGTGGAAGCTACCTGGTCTGTCACTCCGCACGAAGCTTCAGATCTTCTCGGCCACAGTCATTCCCTCCCTTCTCTCTGCGAAACGTGGACCCCCCTAATGGAGCATCTTCGCTGGTTGGAAACATTTAGGCTGGCCTGCCTACCATCCATCCTGGGTTTAACCAGGCTGGATTGTGTGAGGAGCTCACAAATCCTTGAAAGATCTGGGCAAAGTCCCATCGGTGAGCTCCTCCGGCAGGCAAGGCTGCGTTGGCTGGGTCATGTAGCCCGCATGCCCAGCCACCGCATGCCTAAACAGCTTTTGTTCGGCCGGATCGAGGGGGCTAAACGGGCACGGCACGGGCTAGAGAGGAGATGGAGTGATGTGGTACAGGAGGACGTGGAGCTGAGTGGACTTGCCGATGACTGATACCAGCGGTGTCAAGATCGGCCTCTGTGGAGGAGGCTCGTGAAGGACGCTACTGGGCAGTTGGAGGCAGTCGCCCTCCAACAACAACGGAGGGCGGAGGAGCGACGCTCACAACAACGAGCGGAGCGCCGGGTGGCTAAACCACAGCAAGTTGGTACAGTAGGGGGTACAGGTGGTGCATCAGCCAGTCACCTCAGTCATCTCGGTCATCTCGGTCAGTCGACCTGTGGCACCTGGGTCTGCCCCGTGACCTCCTGCCAGCGGGCGTTCGACACTTCACGTGGCCTCAAGGTGCACATGGCCTGGCACAAGCGTCGTGGTGACGTCACCGCCACTTAATGGCGAATGGCGGTTGTTGTTGTTGTGTGTGTGTACATGTGTGTGTGTACATGTGTCGGTGTGTACATGAGTGTGTGTGTACACATGTGTGTGTATGTACACGTGTGTGTACATATGAGTGTGTGTACTCATGATGAGTGTGTGTACACATGTGTGTGTACACGTGTGTGTGTTCATGTGTTGCCTCTACGAAGACTCCATCTCCCTGCAAGAACACTACACTCGTAGTGGCAGACACACCCACTCGACGCGTGCTGTCGTCTCTTGGTGACATGTCCTTGATCACCTCGCGAGGAGTCTGGCCTTTGCTGGGCGATGACCGCGGCGATACCACCACCGCTTTGCAGTGAATGGCAGTCGTTTCCTTGAGTGTCAATGCTAAAGTTCCTAGAAAATCCAACCAATCGTGCATTATAAAGGTAACACAACGCCAATGAAGTGCATGCCGTTTTTATTAAAATGTCAAAGGATAACAGCAGAACCAGACTTTGACATTTGCTCACATTGTATTATGCCAAGTGATAAAAGGGGCGGGGGGAGGGGGTTAGCGAAATATCCAAGACTCTGGACTTGACACTTTGGATGAGGAGAGGGTTAGAGATTTAAAATAATAATAACTGGCAAAAACAGTCTTGAAATCTGGCCACAAATCTTCAGGAAGTGAGAAATGTTGCTAGGACGTGCATCTCAAGAGACAGACTGACACACAGATGGCCCCATCGCACCGACACCACAAGGCATCATTGATATGTACAATTTCCGACGATTTTCCCCCTCCTCCCCCCGCATCTTAGTCCATTTTCTTCTTCTTCTCGGCAAACAAAACACGTGGAATTGTGAGAACTGGTTTCTAGCACCGATTTAGACTTGGCAGTTTTCGCGAAAGGCTTTTTTCGCAAACATTTCCCTGCTTGCGTGTGGTCTGCACGGTTTCACAACGTACCGTGTTTCAACTTGGCAATGGCAACAAAACAATATAGACCTAAATACTACAACAAGAAGAAAACATGTAAGGGGTCGGGCATTTATTCCATCTCTAATAGCGTGCAGACACACAGGGGGATGTTTGCATCTTTAGAGGAGTCGTTGATGTTTGCATCTGCCAGGGTGTGCTGGCTCGCTCAAGTTTTAATTTCAACTTTGGCAAAAAATTCATTTTCATTCATTCAGCAGCTCATCTTACCAAAATGGAAGCGCTTAAATCATCTAAATACATTTTCCATAATGTTTTGCCCTTTAACCGACAGAATAATTGAGAAAATGCATGTTACGCAATGTATTAATGAAAACATTGCCTCTCGGGGCTTTCAAACAACATCTCATTGCTAAACTTAAAGGCCCGAGAAGCACTCCGCAGACATTTGAAACGTAAACATTTACGCACATTGCAATACATTGCAATACATTAAATAGCACCAAATATTTCTGCACCTGCCGAGGGAAACACGAACAAAACAGTCAGTCAGCAAGAAAACCATAAAATAATACAATGAAGAATATAACCAAAATCATCTCGTTATAAAATGGCTGCCACATCCTGCCTAACCATGCAAGTGGAGTGGCTTTCATGAGCTTTAGCAAGATCCTAAACATGCCCTTCACGCTTGGGTAAAGGTGCGGCCCTGCAGTCGATCGCTTTACTAACACCGCTGCCGCTAGGAATGCCTCAACTAGAGGGAGCTTTAGAAAGCTCACGTCGTAGGTATGCTGTTGAAGTGGTCGCAAACGCCCACCACACTTCACCCCGCCACCGATCGACTAACCGCATCGATGGGTTGGGGGGTTAGAGGTGGAAAGGGAGAACTTTGAGGGGGCCATTTTGTGTAGCAATGGTAACATTTCATTTGGGAAACACCACAGACGGGGTACATTCGGCCCTCTAAACCATTAATTTCGACATCCATCCGAGCCATTACACTCATCCACATATATTACGAGCAATTTAATGCTTGTTCACCCAGGAAAGGCCTCAAAGAGTCATGAACTTTTTTTGAGAAGGGTCCTGCCAAGTTTTCACAGTCGGAGGGGTACAACTGTGTAATGGTGTGGGGTAGTTTTTCAAATTCGACAAATTCGGACCACGATTCTTGCCCCGCAGTGGCTTGCGCCTGCTGTGAATGACATCACAGGATCTTCAAAGCAGCTGGCGCGCAGTGCTTCTCTGGTAAGCGAACACCACGGCATTGACCAGGGCGGCCGCTGGACTCTGTCCGTGAGCTCCTGCGATGAGCAGCGGACGCCGCTGCCGCCACGTCAGTGTCACCATCTGGGGAGGAGCACAAGAAGCAACTCGCGATTTGTTCATCGAATCGAGAATTTATTCTTGGGCAACCACTACGTGAAAATGCAGTCTAGAGCGGCGTGCAATTATTGTTATTTTTAATGGAACTGACAAAAGCCAAGGCTTTCAACTTATTCTTAGGTTTTTTCGGTAAAGTCACGTAGGTAAAACATTAAAATTAAAAAAAGTAAAATAAAATAAAAATCACGACGTTTCGGAGGCAACACAAGCCTCCGTCTTCAGGTGGAACCGTCACAGCCACGACAGCCGTATCAAGTAAATGAGAGATTGCAGGAGCTACCACTCCGTTTATATAATGGTTGGAGAGGGGGGAACGTCGTGATTTTTATTTTATTTAACTTTTATTAATTTTAATGTTTTACCTACATGGTGACTTTACCGAAAAAACCTAAGAATATGAATCCTTGCAGTCACGAAAGCTTCAAATCTAGAATTAAGGCTTTCAACGTCCCGCAAAGAGTCACACATCTCTCTCAGCAACAGCTACCTCAAAAGCAGACGATTCTGAACAAGCCAGGACAAGTTGTTGGCAACCCACCATCCACTTGGAAGCCACACACCAGCTAGCACAACAGTGCTGATGTCCCCCACAAATATACCACCACCACCACCCCCCCGAACATCGCTTGTTACGAGGAATGTAATGATGATGGGAATAATCCCAGTCCCCTGTCCCCTGGGGAGTTATCATCTCGGGGGGTTTTGGTTCGGCGTGAGCCCTTAATAAACGTGGCGTGAGCCCCTAACAGCAACCTGCCGCGGAGTCGTGAGTAGCGCTACAACAGTCACAAGGACTCTCCAGCCACGTGGCCTTGTGCTGAACAACGTGCACGTGGGTTCTGCGCTCGCAGTTCCTGTTCATCACAACTAAATCAGAATGGGACGATCTTCATTTGAACTCGGATGTATATCGCATGATGATACTGTCAAAACAAATGTTGGTTGTAATGTAGAGATTGCAATCTAATTGTATACATATATTGATGTATATGTGGATATACTGGATACACAATACAAAGTCAAGACAAAGTTTCCCTGTCGTGGCCAATGAAGGCCGGCACGGCACTTCAGGGGTGGTTTGGGTGGCCAGCACCACAGCCTGGTGGCGATGTTTACACAATGCACCAGGTGCTCATTGAAGGCCGAGTCGGCCTAGGGGATGCCGGAACCGGTTCAGATAATCGTCACCGGTGTCGACCTCGAGCGGTAATCGAACTCGGGTGCCCGGGCGACCTAGCGCAGTGCGCTAACCACTGTGCCACCGCTCCCCCCGCACTCCACATCCACGCGTGTGCATATGAAGGACTTCCAATCAATGCTCCGAGGACACGTCGCCTAGTCGTGCATTGCTCACGGTACTCGGAAACACAACGGGACGCCGCTATAAACACAACGCGTGAATCGCAGCTTTATATTCCAAGGAGTGGCTGTGAAAACAATTCTGTTTTGGAATAGGGGCTCGGTTATAGCCAACTTATAAAATCAATTACGGCCACACTCTCACTGCACCAATGGGTGACGGCCTCGCCACGCCGTATGGGCTCACGGGGGGATCCAGGATCATACTTGGCCACGATGCCGAGTGAGGGTTGTGTTTGGTGATTGGTGGGGAAAGCAGGAGCGGTTCTGACGTCACTCACAACTAATGCTCGCCGTGGCCTGGAGTCGAACTCGGGCTGCCAGGCTCGGAGCACAGCGCCGCACTCCAACCCGCCGTACTACAGCAACACGCCGCTCGGCTTATTCACAAGCACGCACCACGGGCTTGACTAAATCGAGTATGAAGTCTAATCCGTACAACGGGAATCCAACAACAATAGTCGTACCCAGTGATAGAGAGAGAGTGTAGTGATGATGATGATGATGCGAAGTGCAGAGAAAAGCTTTTACCTGCAGCAGCAGCTCCCTGTTGTCCCCTCTATGGGGGAAGCGGTGGGCGCGTCGCCCACCGCTTCTGTGCATTCTCTTTGGCGCTGGGATCACGGCAGGCACACTCCTTCTTGCGGTCACAACTGGCTGGAACGGTGATCACCTGCACGCACACACAAAAAGGCACACCAACACCACACAGACACGTACAATCGATTAACTCTTCGAGTGTGAGGAAAACGGTGCCAAATTAAACGCAAAATGCAGTTTTAAAGAAACGAGTATTTGGACCTAGATTTAAAAGTGCTTTGCTAAAGTCACTTCCTAAGATCGTGAGGAAGAGAGTCCCAGACGGTCGTAGAAGCGCATGTCTAATTGCCAAAAGCTCCCGCGAGGAAGACCGCGGTTTGCGTAATGGTCGATGCTCCTTGACGAGATCAGAAAGGCATTGTGGGTCGTCATTTGTGTCAAGCGCTTTGTGTGTAGAGAGTGCGACCTGACCATGTGTGCGAGTGCAGCGTGGGCGTGCGACTTGGCCACCTGTTTGAAGGCGGATGTGGACACGCAACAATCCCCTCCGTCGTAGTGGCAGTAGGCGTTGTTGTTTACCGGGTCACAGTACCCATCGCCGACCCATAACTGAAGACCACACACGTGCACACACAGCCCACGTACAAATCACGCACGGTAACGATGATACAGATGCGCCTTTTGTTTTACAGCAGAGCAACCCTGAGTCTCTGGAAGGAGTGGGAACAATTATGTCAGTTCATCAAATGATGTTGATTCTTAAACTCATGACGCATGCAGTGACCTGACGGGCCTACACACATTGTGTTGTTAATGAAAGCCAGACGCAGCAAGTGCTATTTTATAATTATCACCGTACATATATATATGCTCCGTGTTGCAATGGTTAGCACAGCTTAAATATTGGTTCGAATTTCTTAAATCCCCCCCCCCGGCCCACCTCCGTCCATCCCACGTGTTATGGAATAAAGTGTGGGCCAACTCCCAACTCGTAACAAGACGCCTGGCCGGCATTGGAAGAGTAGGCCAAGACACCCTCTAGAGGGGCTCTCCAGAGTGGAGGCCATTCTGCCAGCAGCGGTGGCGTTAGCAAGACATTGCAAGGTTTCATCTTCACCTCGAGAAAAAGAGACAAAGATCCCCCGAACAAACAGTCGGGGCAAGTGCTGTTAGCGAGTAGCAGCACCTGTGAAGGCCGCAACGACACACGAGGGGGGGTGGGTGGCCAGCACCACGCCCGGCCGCCTTTGTCTCCCCAGTGGCGATGTTTACACACCGCTACACCAGGTAACTCATTTGAGGACGAGTCGACCTAGATAAGGCTCGGAACCAGTTCAGATGGTCATTGCTGGTGTTGGCCGTGAGCGGGAATCGAATTTGGGGGTTCGTAGCGCAGCACGCAAACCACTACACTACCACTCCCCACTAACGTGTGTACTGTATACACACACTACACTCCCACTAACGTGTGTACTGTATACACACACTACACTACCACTAACGTGTGTACTGTATACACACTACACTACCACTACGTGTGTACTGTATACACACCACACTACCACTCCCAACCTGTGTACTGTATACACACACTACACTACCACTCCCACTACCTGTGTACTGTATACACACACTACACTACCACTCCCCACTACCTGTGTACTGTACACACACTACTCCCACTACCTGTGTACGTACACACACTACACTACCACTCCCCTAACGTGGTACTGTATACACACACTACACTACCACTAACGTGTGTACTGTATACACACACTACACTACCACTCCCACTACCCTGTGTACTGTATACCACACACTACACTACCACTCCCACTAACCTGTGTACTGTATACACACACTACACTACCACTCCCACTAACGTGTGTACTGTATACACACACTACACTCCCACTACGGTGTACTGTATACACACACTACACTACCACTCCCCACTACCCTGTGTACTGTATACACACACTACACTACCACTCCCACTAACCTGTGTACTGTATACACACACTACACTACCACTCCCACTACCCTGTGTACTGTATACACACACTACACTACCACTCCCACTAACGTGTGTACTGTATACACACACTACACTCCCACTAACGTGTGTACTGTATACACACACTACACTACCACTAACCTGTGTACTGTATACACACACTACACTACCACTAACCTGTGTACGGTATACATATGAAGTACCCTTGAAGACGCTTGGACACCGTTGTAAGGCACACGTGTTTATTTACACAATGGTCGTACAGCACTAGAGGGGTGTATCGGCCCCCTCACCCGTATAACTGGGGATACCCTCTAGCTATCCCTGACCTACCCCGAGTCCTCCACTAACGGGCTAGGGGAGGCTGTCTGGCCCGACACTGGTCAGTCGGGCTACGGTACCCGGAGTCCCAGAGTACTAACTCTGGTTCACGGGACCACGCCACTGGCTCCGTCCTGCGCTGCCCTTATAAGGGCGGCGTCCCAGGGGAGTCCAGGGCCTATCTGGTCGATCTTCCGTCTTCCCCTATTTACTCTAAGACTGAACCCCGAGCTCTCTGGCTCATCCCCTTTTATACTCCCCCAGAGGATCACAACCCCCCCCTCACGCCGCCCGGTGCGGACGTCGTTGCGGGCACCACCCCGTGTACTGGCGAGGTCCCCGCCCACTGTGTTTGTCATCCGTTAGATCCTATGCAAACAGCCCTACACAAACAGCCCCTCTGTAACAGCCCTACATCACCCCCCCCTGTACAGCTCGCAGCCGTCCCGGCTGCAACAACTTCAATAAGGTTTAATTAACCCCTTGATCTCCGCGTGTGCCTCAAAAAAACGTTTTTAACCATAACGTGAAGGGGAACAACAAAAACCAAACAAACCCGAAGGGAAACAATCCGACGCACCCCCCCTGAATAACACGAATTCCGTAAGAGCGACGTATATACAGTTTTAGCAGGGAACCCCTAGCACACACGCAACACAACACAATGTGGCAGGAGCTCCCCACCGACGCAGCACCCCGCAACCATACACAAGAGAAATAAGTCTCCTGTTAATGCATTATAAGAGTCTGCGCATTTTTGCGCGCGTCCTTGCTGCAGGCCCGTCACACGGGGCAACCCCGGATGGCGGACCGCCCGGTTGCAGCTGTTCATTCCGTATTGAGTCCGCGTTTGACGTCGCGAGACCCTCGGCATCCCCCGTAGCGGTGGTTGGGTGCGAGCCCGTCAATCCCGGTGCACCTGTGGGCGGGACAGCTGGCGACACGTCAGGCGAGGGCAGCAGAGACGGACCCTTGAGTCGGCCGACCACCCCACGTTTGGCCACGCGTGTGTAGAGTGGGGCCATCGCACCGCAACGAATGGTTTAAGTCTCGAGGGGTGCACAAACCACCGGCGCTTCCCCCATTTGATGCGAACACACTGAGGCCGCAGAACCTCGACCACCTCGACAGGACCCCTCCACGGCCGCCCCAGTTTAGAGGATGTCGCGAGTGGTACCTGGGGGCAGTGCAGCCATGCCCTGTCCCCCGGCTTCCACTGCAGCACGTGCGCGCGACCCAGTCGTGAGGCGCTCATTTGCCTTCGGACGCTGTTCTGAATTTAGCATGGCAGCAACCCCGCGTGCATTCCCATGCGTCGGCATCACCCGATCCCCGCCCCCGCCTCCCCGGCGCGACGGCGCAACGCGAGGAGGGAGGTATCCTCCATCTGGAGGCGCCCCCATTCCTGATGTGCAAACCCAGCAGGGAATCTTTCCCTTGTTGTTCAATAGATTTGGAACACTGTCCCGCCGTCGGCGGCGGCCGCAAGGACCGGAACCGACATGTCCCCTGCTGGCTTGCAACGTCCCGACCCCAGGAGGCATGCCACATTCTGAGGTGGTTGGCATGCGCGACAGAGCGTCCGCGTTGGTGGTGGCGAACGCCCTTACGGTAGGTGGTTTCGAAATCAAAATCCTGGAGGATCTCCAACCATCGGGACAATTGTCCCGATGGCTGTTGAACTCGCAGGGCGTACTGCAGTGCCGCATGATCTGTGCGGACGGTGAAACGCCGACCGTACAGATATGGGCAATACTGTTGGATGAAATAGACAATTGCCAACAGTTCTCTGCGGGTGACACAATATCTTTGCTCTGCTTGAGACAACACCCGACTGCCGTACGCAACCACCCGTTCGACGCCGTCAACCACCTGGGAAAGCACGCCCCCAATACCCGTGTTGCTCGCATCGGTGTCGAGCAGAAACGGTTTTGAAAAATCGGGGTAAATCAAGGGAGGAGCTTTTACCAGGGCGTCCCGAAGGGAGCAAAAAGCAGCCTCCTCCTCCTGACCCCAGTGGAACCGAACCCCTTTTGATGTTAAGGCGTGTAGGGGTTTGGCAATTGTTGCAAAGTCGGCGACGAACCGTCTGTAATACGACGCGAAGCCGACGAAACTCCTGACCTCTCCCACCGAGGTGGGAGTCGGCCAGGAGCTGACACACTGCGTTTTGGCGGGATCGGTAGCAATACCCGAGCGCCCTACGATGTGGCCCAAATAACGCACGGAATCGCGTAACAAATGGACATTTTTGGGGCTTGAACTTCAAATTAGCAGCCCGCATCTTTAGGAAAACCGCCCGCAACCTCTGGAGATGTTCGTCAAAGTTTTAGCGAAGACCAATAACGTCATCCAAATAAATCAGGCACGACTCCCATTGCAATCCAGCAAAACCAATTCCATCAAACGCTGGAAGGTTGCCGGCGCTGAGTGTAAGCCCATCGGCAACCGGTTGAATTGGAACAGGCCGTGCGGTGTACGGAAAGCAGTTTTAGGTTTCGATTCATCATCCAGAGGAGCTGCCAGAATCCCGAAAGTAAATCCAGCGTGGAGAAGAATCGCGCTCCCGCCAAGGCGTCCAGCGATTCGTCCATCCGTGGGAGCGGGTATGCGTCGGCAACCGAAATTTTGTTTAGGCGCCGAAAATCAACGCAAAACCGCAACGAGCCGTCCTGCTTTTTTAACCAGGACGATCGGCGCTCCCCAAGGGCTGGTAGAGGGAGAAATATGTCGGCGGCTAACATGTCATCAACGGCCAATTTGACAGGTCCTTTTCGGCGGGACTCAACCGAAACGGATTTTGGCGAATTGGCGCGCTGTCACCCGTGTCAATATGGTGACGCAGCAGATGAGTACAACCCAAATCGTATTTATTCGACTAAAAACGTCGGAAAATTCCTGCAGTAGCGATCTAAGCTGTTGGCGCTCTGAATTTGACAGGTCCGTCGATCCCGCAAAAAGCGCGTCGAGCCACCCGTCATCGCTGTCCGAATGTGGGTGCAGTCGGGCGGCGGTGCCGACATGATTCGCAACCGGTTCCTCGCAGGGCATCGGCGTCGCGTGCGCAAGCACCGTCCCTTGAGGAACTACAACAGTTTGCGATCCCACATTGAGGACCGCGATGAAAGGGTCCCCATCTCCCCTCACAACGGTCAGGGCCGGAATCAAATGCGGTCCACTAACCCCGGCCCTAGACGGTCCTAACAGGATTCCCTGGGCCCCGATGCCCTCCGCGAAGGGCCGACGAAGTCTTAGAGGTACTAGCATT